AAAAAAAAAAGATATTAAATACACATTAATCTTCTATAGGTTTAAACCGATATGTGTTATTATACACAAGACCCAAGTTTAAATATTTACCCACTGTAACCTTAGAAATATTTAAGTGTTTAGCTAACTCTACATTATTTTTAAACTTTGAAATTAAATTGCCATCTAGATCATATAAACCTACACCTAAAGGGTATTTACTCTTTCTTTCACTTATTATAAATCTAGTTACTTCACTGTGTTTTCTTCCAAACATTGGATTTAACTCACCAGGTTTACTGATTAAAGCTAGCGCTTTTTTACTATGAGTTTTACCAAACATAGGATGATTTGTCTTATTTTTATAATACTCTTTCATCTTTAGTCTAGCTTCTTCAGTATGTTTATAACCTAATGAGCTTGTAGCATTAGCCTTAAAATTATAAAGAGTATCAAAATGAAATTTTTTTATATAACTGGTTTCCAAATCAGTTAAAGCTTTAGAACTTATAATTTTACTTTGATATGTAAAATGTTCATATATATAAAAATGAAATTTATCTAAGCCATACTTAACAAATGATTTTTGTAAAGCAACGTTAGACTTTTTATTGTTCAGATGTTCATTAAGCCTTAAATAAAAGTCTTTGGCACTTCCGATGTACTGATTACCATTTTCAGTGTTAATAAAAGAATAAATACCTGCTTTGCCTTTTAATAATTCTCTATAAGATGTAATGCAATCTTTATTATCTAAATCATCAAGAATTAAAATAGGAACAGGATATAGATCAAATGATGGAGGATTTGAATTTGAAGTAGAATAATGTCTACGGCTAGCTACCGTTCAAACTTTTTGCTTAGGTTTGGTAATATAAGCTACATGAGTTATGTTACTTACCTCTAAGGTAAGCACAGTAGGATGAATGTTTGAATTTAATTTCAATTTTTATTTATTTTGTATTTTCATACAAAATTGGACTATATCTTATTTAACATAAATACTTACATTAAATGACCACGTGTAGTCTCTGAGGATTATAACATACTATATGTTAAATTTCCTGCTGATTGTCCCTTTTATTAATTAATAGAAAAGGTCGAAAAAGGGGGTTTTCAGCATATGGTGATCTTTAAAGAGACCAAATCAGTAGCCTCTGCCAAGTCAAAAGGTGCTCTATTTGTTTCTGCTATAGATCCTATGAAAAATACAATGAATATAGGAAATAAAGGTACTGCATATCAAATAGCTCTTTGAGCTTCTATAATAACAGTTATGTCTAAGCTACCTGCTAATAATACAACTAAAAGTATAGCAGAACTTAAAATTAATTCATAACTAATTAATTGAGCTGTACTTCTTAAAGACCCTAAGAAAGCATATTTAGAATTAGCTGACCCAGTATTGTTTTAGCAAAATCTCTTTATTTTTTTACTTCCATCTCTTACAAGATGGCTCAGACTATATCATAGTCTTGTTTATATACATATTTTGATCATTAAGCTAGTAGATTAGGTTATAAGCCTTCTATGCTAAACATACAAAAAAGAATGGAACTGTGACTAAGGTTTTACGTTTATATATATTTCGTCTATTCAAGTTTATCCTAAGAATTTTGTGGAGAGCTGAAGATAAGAAACCCTTTGTATATTTCAGAAGAATCCAAATATTTATTCAATACAGTTATGTGAATCTTAAGAGCACGAATAGCTTCCCGTTTAGTTTTAAATGGTTGATTGGGTATTAAATTTAAAACTCCATACTCATCCAATCTATACACCCAGATCTCAGTACGAGTATAGTGAGCTTTATTCATGTTTTTCAAAAGTTCATTTTTTAGAACTGAATCTATTTCTTTTGTAAAAAATATACAAGAATTTTATTTTGAGAACTAGCTAATTTCGTGTCCAAATGCCTAGTGATGGTACGATAATTAACTTTGAAATGATTAGCAGCTGAAAGTAAACTAGAAAATGGTGAATTATTAACTAATTCAAGTGTTTTAGCATTATAAGCTCAAACTTTTATTTTATTACCCAGTTCTAGTGTATGTGAATATTCAATAAGATTTTCCACTTCTTTAGCTTCAAGTGGTCTACTAAATAAATAAGTACCTTTCACTCCTTCTGCTTTCCAAGTATCTATAAAATAGGTTATTACATTACGACTAATACCCACAGAAACGGATGCTTGGGTTTTAGAAGGAAAGGGGCTACCTTTTACGAATTCTAGGGTTTTGGCATTGTAAACTCAAACCTGTTTAGCTATATTACTATTAAGATTTAAACCACTAGATGCAGTTTTAAATAAATTAAATGTTAATTCAAAATCTATAATAGGTTTCGAGTAGTATAGCTTATTTCTAAACGGTACATTAGTATCTCTAAACATACCTAAAGTACCTCTAGCAATCTTTTCACTACGGCTAGCTT